ATCATGGCACTCAGTGGAGGCCACTCCACCCTGCACCCATCACATCCCAGATCCTCCTGGAATGTAACCCCATGTACCCAGGGGTCCCAGGGACCTGGGGGTAAGGGGGGAGGTACACAGTGGTCTCTGGAGGACTACTGGGCTCCCCTGCTCCAAAGCCATACTACCTATGTATAATATGCATCCCATTTCCCCCTCAAATTTGGGCAAAAGTGCTCATTATACACAACAAAATATGATACCTAGAACAGACATCTTTGTCTTGCTTCTGATTTTAAGGAGAAAACATTCAGCCTTTCATTATTAAGTAAGATGTTAACTGTGAGATTTTCATAGATATCCTTTGTCATAAGAGGAAGTCTTTCTGTTTGTTGAGTAATGCAAATGATGTGTTATTGATTAATTTTTTGGTAGGTTGAACCAACCTTGTATTCTTGCAATGAATTTCAGTTGGTCATGGTATATAATATATTTTTATTTTTTGCTGGATTATGTTCACCTATGTTTATAATTGTATGTCTTCCTGAAAAATCGATCTTTTTATCATTCTAGAATAGCCTTGTCTCTAGTAAGAATTTTTGTCTTAAAAGTCTTTTGTTTGATATTAGTATAGCCACTCCAGGTCTCCTTTGGTTACTCTTTGCATGATATATTTTTTAAATCTTTTGACTTGCAATTTATTTGTGTCTTAATCTTTTGTTTTTGTCTAATTTTTATTCCCCTATTTCTCCTTTGCTATCTTTTTTAGGTTATTTGAATATGTGTGAGAATTCTATTTTAATTTTCCTGTTTGCTTTCTCAGTATGGTTTTGGCATTTTAAAAGATAGAAGGTCAGGCTCAGTGGCTCATGCCTGTAATCCTAGCACTCTGGAAGGTCGAGGTGGGTGGATTGCTTGAGTTCATGAGTTCAAGACTAGCCAGAGCAAAAGTGAGACCCTGTCTCTACTAAAATAGAAAAAAAAACTGAGACAAGAGGATCACTTGAGCCCAAGAGTTTGAGGTTGCTGTGAGCTATGATGCCATGGCACTCTACCCAGGACAA